TAGCAACCTTACCTCGTTCTGCCTAGCTTCTGTGTAGGTCTGCAACCTACAATCTAGCTGCTGTTACATGTAGATGTCATTGTAACAGTTACAACCAAGTCATGTAGAGAGCTGCTCAATGAAATCCGGTCTAGCTAGAGATTGCAACACCGGACTCTGTGCACCCCTGGACTTGCGAATACTGGGATGTATTGTATGTACCCTGAGTCGCCTGACACAGGCATTCACGAGATCGGATTTCATTGGGCATTACCCGATTTGCCGTATGTGCATCGCTGTAGTAGAGACAGTACTGTAGACTGTAGTGTAGCCTACTACATGTACTAGTACATGACAATCATGATGTAGACTACAAAAATTAATTAATATTACACAGCAATGAATCAAAGAAGTCTCTTTCCGCTGTTACTCCGAGTTTCGTGTGAAAACACTTCATCAGACAGCATACTACACACACAACAGTTAAAGTTTCACGCATCGGAGCGATCATCAGACAGCAGCATTCACTATCGATCGTCGAATTCTCTACGAGCAGGCCTAGATATTTGATGCTAGTGTGCATATGTGCGAAGTGAAGACGTATGCACTATAAACTTCCACACTGTCACTAGCATCAAAATAATATCTAGGCCTGCTCGTAGAGAGATAGTGAATGTAATGACTATGTAATCATGGTAATCATGGTAATCATGGTAATGCTGCTGTCTGATGATCGCTCCGATGCGTGAAACTTTACCTCGAGCTTCCTATAGGCTATAGACCTGATAGACCGGCCTTGTTTGATGTAGACTACATACAGACTACATGTATGTAGTCTACGCGCGATACGAGAGCCGTTCAAAGAGAAGTGTCGCCTAGCACACGCTCACACGCGACGTCGGTGTCTTGCCCATGTACCGACCCGTAGTCGCAGTCGACTGTAGTCTGTGGGTGTAGCTTTTCGGAGCCTCCCTTCGCACTCACTTGTGATACACCTTCGGATGAGTAACTGTCCAGTTCTGTTCGTTTCAAGCAAGACTTCAGTTCTCGACTGCCGTGGCATGCGAGCCTTCGGATTCGAGTTGGAAACGTCGGGTTGAAGGAAAACACGGTTGTACGGCGTTGAAACTCTTCTGAAGTAACAGCACACAGACTTTGCCCTTTCCCTGGCAGCTGAGCAATAGTACTACTACCAAGGTTGATGTACTCTTGCTACTACTAGTAGTGCCGTTCGTAGCCTAGTGGTTTTGAATGCTCGGCGAAAGGTGCTGGAGAAACTCGCCATTCCTTTGCTTTTGACGTTTTTGTTCAATTAAAATGAAGAGAATTTCTTTCAACGTTCGTTCTTGTTAGAAAGGGTTTTCTCCCCACACCGGAGCTCGCGCTATTCCGCCGACTTTACTTGACACTTGACTGACTCACGACTGCCATCCAGAGCACACGAGAAGACTCCAAGTCCATCGAACCTTCGACTCGGCAAACCTGCAAGAAAGCACCACTCCCTGCTCAATACACAGTGTTTCGGGGAATTCACCCCTCATCAGTTGAGCTTGAGTAGGCTGAGGAAGATTGTGCCTGAAGAGCACCACTTATAATATTGCTCTCCAGGCTGCAGGCACAAACATCACCAGGGAAACAAACTTACGGAGACGCTCCGTTTCCAGCGCGACAAACACCTCGTGAACACCAGATAGCAGCGTGAGTCAGTGTCGCTCCTGGTGAGACAGACGTCGAGGACCCTCGGTCATTCGCAACGCTGTCACCTCCAAACCAACTAGTCGCAAGCCCGCGCTGGGCACAACAGTACGAAGTAGTGGTTGCGACTTCGGCGATGATTTGTAAGAAAGGGTTTGCTCCCCACACCGGAGCTCGCGCTATTCCGCCGACTTTACTTGACACTTGACTGACTCACGACTGCCATCCAGAGCACACGAGAAGTCCATCGAACTTTCGACTCGGCAAACCTGCAAGAAAGCACCGCCGAGGGTCCTCGACGTCTGTCTCACCGTCCAGGACCGACACTGACTCACGCTGCTATCTGGTGTTCACGAGGTGTTTGTCGCGCTGGAAACGGAGCGTCTCTGTAAGTTTGTATCCCTGATGATGTTTGTGCCTGGAGAGCACTATATAAGTGGTGCTCTTCAGGCACAATCTTCCTCAGCCTACTCAAGCTCAACTGATGAGGGGTGAATTCCCCGAAACACTGTGTATTGAGCAGGGAGTGGTGCTTTCTTGCAGGTTTGCCGAGTCGAAGGTTCGATGGACTTGGAGTCTTCTCGTGTGCTCTGGATGGCAGTCGTGAGTCAGTCAAGTGTCAAGTAAAGTCGGCGGAATAGCGCGAGCTCCGGTATGGGGAGCAAACCCTTTCTTACAAATCATCGCCGAAGTCGCAACCACTACTTCGTTCGTTCTTGTTCTCAACAGTAGTACACGCTCCGAGCCATAGCATAGACTGTATATTGTGTCCGGCCGCCGGGTTGGCGAAATCGTGGACCGCTGCACCGTGTGCTTTCGGCCGCCGCACCTATGGGGCAGGACTTGTCCCACTTCAAAGCTGTACGCGATAGTGTGCGGCACAACGACGAGGACGTGTACGAGATAGACCTGACCGGCAAGAATGTGGGAGACTCGCGGACAGTGAAGCTAGCCCAGGCTCTCCGACATAATGAGTAAGTAGCGGGGAGCAAATAATTCAAGAACGCGGTGTTACAAACTGAGCGCAAAGGATGCATTCAGTGTGCAGAAAGTGCTCAAAATGCCTAAAACAAAATACTGTAGAACGGGTAATTTTAGCGACTATTTTAAATTATTTAGCGTTTTCTCATTGTCAACCGGTTAGCGACGTTTTATTTTAGCGATTTGCAGCGATTTTACTCACGGATCACCAGTGCACTACTATTGTCTCAACGGATTAGCGACTTGAAACTTTAGCGAAGATGAGTAGATAGCTAAATTTGCTAGGGTTTTTACGTCGCTAAAATTACCCGTTCTACAGTACCACGGAGTGAGAGCTCAGAACACAATAAAGCAGTAGGCAATGTCTATGTCACTATCCGGTGGCCGAGTTTCTCGAAGCCGCTAACTACATGATTGTATGAAACCCTGACTACTGACTAGTATTACAACAAAATAATTATAACATGATCGAATAGGCATTGTTCACGGCTCGGTTGTGAGGAGAGACCAACAAAAGTTTTCAATAACAATCGCGTCCATGCACCACTAACACATGTCATTGTGGTGCCGCGGAGTGTGTATGAATGAACCGTGGTCGATGAGAGCTGGTATGGCTTTGCGCAGGCTTGATCATCCTCTTGCAAACATTGCAGACACCTGCAAAGCCACGGCACAGTGATTCCGTAGTGCTGGTTTGCAATACAAAACAAGTGCTGTTTGTATGGTTTTGCATGCAACACAGATTTCTGAGATTTCCCATTTAGTTCTCCGATCTCCGAAACACAAACTAGCACTAGTTTCCACCGAACACAGTACTGTCGGGTTCCGAAGAAATGGGGATCAGCCTCCGGCGCAGCCTCGTTCTTATCTTCATGTACTATGGCTTATGCACAGTTGAGTCACCATGTACATGTATGCAATGACCTCATTAGGATAACCTTTTAAAAAGTTTATTGCACTCTCTCCCTCTCACTCCCAAGCAACAATTGTTATCCTGAAGTTGATAATTTTTTCGACATCACTAACGATAGAGCTTGGCTACGCTATGCTTTTTTGCCTTGATGACCTAGGCAAAAAAAAGCATATTAAATTGTTCATTTCTCCTATTTTGCAAGACATAACTTGGGATTCGAACCCGCACTATTGCCCTGCATGCACCCCCCGATACACTTTGCATACATACTAATTCTTCAAGTTGCTTCACGTTATGATCTTGCATTTGAAAGCCCTATTTGAATATTGTGGCCAGCTGTTTGTGGCCAGCCGTCGTTGATGACGGTACGGGACAGGTACGGTCGAGGGTAATACGACACCGTCTACCACCTTGATGACCTAGGCAAAAAAGCATAACTGGATGTTATAAATTTTTCAATCTCTGTGGAGAAATTCTACGACCTGACATAGTTTTTGAAACATGGAGGACACTGGTGGTGGTAACTTCACGCAGTACTTAGCAGGGAGTCGTAAAATACGGTATTTTACGACTCCCTGGTAATAGTAAACAAACAGTAATGTCCAGAGGTTGCTATCGTTACCGCAGCTAAGGTAGCTCAAACCTCTCTTTTTTTTCTAAAATAAAAATATAAAGAAGAGGTTGGTGCGACTTCGGCGATACTTGGAGAATTGTGTGGTGCCCCCAACGTGGGAGCTTGCGCTATTCCTGCCGACTTGAATTCTCACGATTTACAAAATATATATTTTTTCACAGAAAAGTGAAGTTGAAGACTCAACTGTAGCTGCTCTTCTTGTTCAATCATTAATTTTGGTAGCGAAAAGACAAAGGACGAAACTTGTCTTTCGGACAAAATCAGTTTTGTGCTAATTGTTGCACATTTTTGACTCAACAGTATTCTGCTTATAAGTTATAACCGTTACTTAGTGTTGGACAAAACGGATAACTTGTAAACTTTTGTTCCTCTTTTTGTATTTTAGTATTACCAGTTAATATTACAGAATGTCAACTCATAGTTGGGGTTGTATAGAGATGCACACTGGGAATATTTGGGGTATATCTTGGTATTTTGGCCCCTTGAAAATTTGCTGTGATTTGCAATTTTCAAACCAAAATCAACAGTTTGCATTTCAGCGGACCTCCCAACGCATTGAATAATTGGATCACACCACGGAACAACAAAATAACTGGCGAATGAAGTTAAATTTTTATAAGTCAATCGTGCAGCCAGGTACCCGAGGAGTACAGAATAAGAAAATAAACCACACCAATTTTAGACACCATCTGACATTATTGATAATTTTCACGGAACTAAAATGTTTAGTCCAGGTACCCGAGGAGTACAGATAAGAAAAGAAACCACACCAATTTTAGACACCATCTGACATTATTGATAATTTTCACGGAACTAAAATGTTTAGTTATGACCTCAGCAAACCCAGTGAATGCAGATTTCAACTGGGAAGATGCTCGCAGAAGACTGACGCCAGCACCAAAGGCGGAAGCAGAAATGGGTCAGCAAGATTGGAGAGGATGCGAAGAACTCTTTCAGCCATGTGGAAAACTCTGCATTAGCTTCTGATCAGGAACAAGAAGTTGCTTTGGGGCAAGGGATGTGAACGTGCTGTTCAGTGCTTCACATGCACTTGGGCTGGCACAGGATGCAAGTTTCTCAGCATTATCCTATAAGTGAAGAGTTCTGCAAGGAAAGCGTGAAGTTTCTGAAGGGGCTGGCTGGCCTCTTGGTGGGGCAGAAATGCGAACCAAAATCAGATTTTGGGCTTATATTGAGACGTGGATAGAGACATCATCCTCGTTTCCATTTCATAATTGTAAACTTAGCTATTGGTAGGAAACCTATTTGAATGCTTAAAAAATGAGGTACAAACAAAACACAGTCATGACACAAGAGCCCACACGCATGGAGCCTACACGCATGATGAGAAGCGAAAAAGAAAATTCAAGCGAACGAGTCGAATGCTGACTATATGCCATGTCTATTTGCATTTGCATATGCGTTTGTATGGTGTGCGAGTCCGAGAATAAAAACAGCAATATGATACAAGTGATACACACAGATACAAAATTACAAATACACACATATCAACACGTTCTAACAACACGCCCACGCACACACACATACACACACACACACACAAATTGTCGGTTACACGAGAATCAACTAGCAGTGCTGGACTGGACAACTCGGTGTCCGTGGCCATCGTGCACCATCCGCTACGCGACCGGCCAGCCCCAGCCGGCTGCCATCTGCTGCACGGGTGCAGCCTGTGCCTGCTGCTGCTGCTGCTGAGCTGGTTGTGGCCAAGCGGCTGCCGCCACTGCCTGTGCCTGTGGCCAAGCGGCAGCTGCAGCAGCCTGGGCCGCGGCCGCCGCGATATTTGATGACATCATCTGTTGCTGTTGCTGCTGATGGTGGTGCAGCTGCTGTTGCTGCTGTTGTTGCTGTTGCTGGTGGATTTGATGGCGTTGCAGTTGCGCTGCGCCGGGCACCGGATCCTTGTAGTGACGCTTGAAGTAGGCCAGCATCGCCTCCAGAGATGCGTGGACCTGAAGAATAGGTCGAAACAACAAACGCAGGCAACCGCACACGAACACACACAAACACAAACGTACACACACACACACACACATGCGCGCACACACACACATAAGCACATACGCGTACATGCACACACACACACACACACACGCACACACGTACCCAGGCATACACATATACACACACAAGTCGAAACTTACGTCAGGCTGTAAGTTATTGCATAGCACTCATACCGAACTACAGTCGACTCCCGATATAACGAACACTATTGTGCAGAAAAAATAGTTCTTTATACACGAAGTTTGCTACCGGTATAACCAAAACACCATACAAGCGGCAAGTCATGACTGGAAGGTGGTCCATGACTGTTTGAGAGCACTTGGTTTACATGCGGCCCTTCATGATATGGTTCATTACAAACGACATTGGTCACATAAACAAAGGTTCGGCATAAAAACGAAATTCCCTATAGGCGAGTTTGTTACAAGCGTAGTTGACTGTATCCAGCTAACGAAGAAGAAAGCAAAGACACTACTTAGATGTAGACATGTGCTGTCAGCAAGCCTCAGCATGCCACTTTGCTTCGTCGGCAGCAGCAGCGGCAGCAGCAGGAGCAGCAGCAGCGACAGCAGCAGCGACAGCAGCAGCGACAGCAGCAGTAGGAGCAACAACAGCATCGGCAGAAGCAGCAGCACCAGCAGCAGCGACAGCAGCAGCAGCAGCAGCAACAACAGTATCAGCAGCAGCAACAACAGCATCGGCAGCACCACTACCACCAGCAGCAGCAGTAACATAGTGCTTACCTTTGAGCGATAGCGTAGACCATTCGGAGTAACTGTGGCATATTCATGGATTCCTTTGGAGCGTGGCATGTAGGAAAGAACAAACTTGCCGGGAAACTCTGGTGATGTACTGAACAAGTACGGAATACGAGACTTCTGCTGACGCTTCTCTGCCAGTAGTAGTGGATCAATGGCCTGAGTGCACAGACAAGCGTGCATGTACACACATTACACACACACACACACGCACACACACACGCACGCACACGCGCACACACACACACACACACACACACATACATGTACACACACACACACATGCTCGAAATGCTGGCACGCTGCTCACTATTCAAGCTGTGTGTTTACACGAGGGTCTCAACTCGTATCAAGATCGACCCAGGTTGAGCCAACCAGCCATGGCCGGCGCACGACTCAGATTGACTTCAACCCTCTCCCAGCCGGTAGGGTTGACATCTAGGAAAAATAAACTACACGTACAGGAATTGTGTGCATGCTGCACGAGGATGGTACAGTGTGCATGCTGCACCAGGATGGTACAGTGTGCATGCTTCACCAGGATGGTACAGTGTGCATGCTTCACCAGGATGGTACAGTGTGCATGCTTCACCAGGATGGTACAGTGTGCATACTGCCCAGGATGGTACAGTGTGCATACTTCACCAGGATGGTACAGCAAATCTCTTCCTGACAAAGCAGTCACACGAACATACCTGTACAGGCAGAACATTTCGTTGGTCAATAATTTCTTCCAACTCCAAAGAAAGGGAGTTCGTCCGGTTGTAAATTTCGTCCATGGGTCATAAGAGTGTATTGAAAAGCTGGACAAATCGACATTAGTCCGGCATTAATTTAGTCCAAAATGGAAAAAGCTCCTCGGACGAAAAAGACGAAATTAAATTCCAGACGAATATTTCTGCTGATACAGTATTCCACAAACGGACTTTTGCCGCTATACATGCATTGGTGATCTCCTCGGATGAACCCTGGTCACACACACATACCCCCCCCACACACACACATACATCCTCTTTCTTACCTGCTTGTTGCCGAAGTGCTTGCAGAAGTACTTGTACGTTTGAATGTCTCTCGCAAATGAAGCCATAGGCTGAATGTGACGGGCTAGGATTTCGTCCAGGTCTTCAAACTCCTGGGAAAGAAAAGTAGCAAAAAAAGAAGATCTGACTGGTGTGTACTTCTTGCCTGCTATACGGACATTGTGTGTGTGTGTGTGTGTGTGTGTGTGTGTGTGTGTGTGTGCGTGCGTTTGTGTGTGTGCATGTGTGTGTGTGTGTATTTGAGTGTGTGCGTGCGCATGTGCGTGCGTGTGCATGCATGCGAGCGTACGTGCGCGTGTCGACAGACAGGTGCACGAAGATAAATCTCAGCAGCCAGAGCCAATGTTTTCCGCTACACATCAATACACTAACGGCGTAACTCTCACGCCGCCCCCCCGGGCACTGGGTCCACGCCATTCCCGTCTCACCTCGTTCTCAATCCAGAGGGACTTTCCCAGAGTGAAGTGATGGGTCTTGTCGCGCTCCAGCACATCGATGTGATGGTAGACGCCCTCGTCAACCTTCCACGATATCGTCAAGTGATCCGATCCCTGCAGAAGACGGATATAGAACGATGGAGATGATGATAGTGATGGTTACGACGATGGCAAGCATGACATCATCAGAATAGACACTGTAGCAGTGCTGTGGATGGACTGGCTGTGGATACAGTGAATGGGATTTCGGCCTTTGACCACTCGGTGGTGGGTCTGATCTACTTACCTCTGGAGCTGCATCTGCGCCTTGATCCAAGAGGGTGGTGGCGTTCCTACGGATGCGGAAAATTCTCTCACACGAACCGTGATTTAAAAAATTTTTTTTAGTGCTGTGGACCTTGAAGTCTGTTGAAAAGACCGGGGATGGCGCCCTCACTGCTTTTAGCGTGTACACTCACTGTAGTTTACGTACACACTGTAAAAATGGACCAACAGTGCTCGCGGCTGCAAGGCCAGGGCCCTGCGGCCGCTTGAAATCTCAACAGATTTCATCATGTCCACATTATATTAAAGCCAAGGGACTTCGCTAGTCACACTAAAAGGAGACACAAGAATTTACTGTCCGTTCACTTGAAACTGGCATTCTACTTTAAAAAAAATTGAAGATTACAGTCCATTCATAACAAGATGAGCGCTGGCTCTGGCGAGCTCCCGTATTTGGCGATTTTCCGTGGTTTTATCGTACAGAGTGTAGTGCAGCGAAATTTGAGGTTAGAAAAAGGGTCCGAAAAAGGTACCTCAACTGGGGTTCGAACCGGACACTGCAGTGGTGCAAGTGGAGTGAAACGGATTGGATTTTCATGGCCTTTCCCAATTCAGTGCTTACAAGACAAAACCTGGCCGAAATCCTATTCTTGTGATGGCTTGCTTTTCGGAGAAATGGACTTCAGAAACACAATTGGAAGAGCATTCTATGGGGGATTACAGAAAAATATTGTGAAAAAGTCAAAATTTGACCCGTTTATGGCCAAAAGCAAGGATATCATCTTTTTCTGAATGGACTGTAGTAGATGCACTAAAACAGGTTAACGTTTAGCGTACCTTTGAGCTAGGCCGAATAATGGCATCACCCTGCTCCATCTGCTCAAGCTTCTTTTCCGCTTGCTTGAAGGAGATGTTGTGAAAGGATGGGTGAACAATCACGCGATCAACATACGCTGTAAGCAATACAGAACACATTTACACACGCGCGCACACATTTACACACATTTACACACACACACACACACACACACACACACACACACACACACACACACACCAGTAAACACCCAAACAAACACACATGCATAGAGTACACAGCCGTACAGATAGAGATACACATGAACTACACAGTGCACTGTGAGAATAGGCACCACAGGAAAATCTGACGATGGAGAGGAGCATCAGCCAATAAATGACAACACTACAATAGTCTAACAATACATACTGTTCTTAGGTTTGACTGCCTTGCGCTCCTTAGCCTTTTCGGTGTCCGCTGCTGCTTCATCATAGTACGTATCACGTGGCCCACTGCAAACACACACACACATACATACAAGAGCGTACACAAGTGTGTACACGCACGCGCGCGCGCACACACACACACACACACACACACACACACACACACACAAGATCGTACAAGAGCGTACACAAGCGTGCACACACACGCGCGCGCACACACACATGCACATGCACATACACACACACACACACATACACACACACGTGCACATACACACACACACACGTTAGACCACGGACGGCCATTGCTGGGTGGCATTAGCTCTGGCACACCGAATAAATGTCTTGTAAAGAGCCTGTCTCATATAGAAGCCTTTTGGAACAAGGAATACACAAGACCAAGAGTACATGAAAACCAGAGAGTGCAGTTTGGATGGGTTGCTGTCACGGCGAAATTCCATGATTACATCATTCTAGTGATGCAGTGCGTACAAGCAGGATTCAAGCAGGTCTCTTTCTGCACAACTGCAGCTCAGTTGTACGCACTACGCCATTTCCCGCCTCAGATCTGCGCCAAATATAATGTAATCACGGAATTGCGCCGTGACAGACAGTCGACACCCATAGTAGAAAAAGCCCCAAGCTGCACACTCTGGTTTTCATGTACCCTTGACAAGACGTACTTGAACTGTCCGTCCTTGTTGGAGAGGTCGGAGGAGCGCGTCGTCAGCTCCACGCTGAACCGCTCAAAGTTGACACGGAGAATGCGGCAGTGAATCACCATGCCAACCTGGATTGCCATGGCAATGGGAGAAGAAAATACAAAACAACAACAGATTTAATAAAACCCCGGACCTTTAGACACAGACAGCCATGTCCACTCCTTGGCGTAGTAAAGCTAACATTCTAAACTAAAATCAGATATAAGAGAAGTCGGTTAATTTCGTGACAAACTTTGACAACTAGGAGTGACCACACCACACCACAGCTGTACAGTCTGATACGTAGTCACCAAACCACAGATGTACAGTCGGATACATGGTCACAACACCACAGATGTACAGTCTGATACATGGTCACCACACTACAGATGTACAGTCTGATACATGGTCACCACACTACAGATGTACAGTCTGATACGTAGTCACCAAACCACAGATGTACAGTCGGATACATGGTCACAACACCACAGATGTACAGTCTGATACATGGTCACCACACTACAGATGTACAGTCTGATACATGGTCACCACACTACAGATGTACAGTCTGATACATGGTCACCACACCACAGATGCGCGAGCTACGCCCCTGCCTTGTCACCTACCTTCACACGGTCTTCAGGTGATCGAACATGACTGTCGCTGATGTGCTTCATGGAGATGAAGCCAGTGAGACCGTTGTCGAGTCGAACCCGTACACCTGTTGCCTGTCCGGCGCAGCTGTTGTCATCAAAGTGGCTCCATACCTTCACAGAGAGAGAGAGAGAGAGAGAGAGAGAGAGAGAGAAAGAGAGAGAGAGAGAGAGAGAGAGAGAGAGAGAGAGAGAGAGAAAGAGAGAGAGAGAGAGAGAGAGAGAGAGAGAGAGAGAGTACAGATACAGACAGACACATACACAGAGTAAATACAAGTATAGTCAACTTCGCTAATAACGACTGCGGGTATAACGACAATTCGCGAATAACGACAGCATTTCCATGCCCAGAGCAAAGTCCCATCCAACTGTAATACATATAATGAGACTTCGGGTATAACGACACTTCGCGAATAAGGACACTTTTCTGATGCCCCGCCGAGTGTCGTTATAAACGAAGTTGACTGTAGACGAGAATGTGGGCAGCTTAATCCCAGGCTAATCCCAGGGCTCCTAGATGCTATGACTATAAACAAGAGTACATAACCCTCACTCCTAGATGCTATGACTATAAACAAGAGTACATAAGTAATCCTCACTCCTAGATGCTATGACTATAAACAAAGTACATAACCCCCACTCCTAGATGCTATGACTATAAACAAGAGCACATAACCCTCACTCCTAGATGCTATGACTATAAACAAGAGTACATAACCCTCATTCCTAGATGCTATGACTATAAACAAGAGTACATAACCCCCAAGAGTGTGCAACTCCAGCTAGGGCGTCTGCGACGGCAGAACTTCACATCACGTGATGAACCGTACACATTTTTCTGCACTCTGTGCATGATAGATACAGGGTTTTATTGCATGTCACGTGAGGGTTGCCTGTACTGCAGCCAATGAGCGCCCTTGCTCAGCGGGCAGGAATTTTCATGTATTGCCCACTGAATCTGCTCCCAGAACGCATGCATACTGTCACTTGCAGTTCACCTTGCGAGAGAAAGTGTTCCTTTTTTGGTATAGTGGACAAGCAAATATGGAGAATGAAACTGTACTTTCACTGCCTCCCGATCCGGGTTCACTACGTGATGATGCTGTAAATGGAGACGAAAGAGTACCAACACGTGGAGCCGCTGAAGCAGCTACGGCTTCAAGTAGTTCAACGACGAGCAGATTTCAAGAAGTATCTGATGAAGCTATTGAAAAGCTTATCGACGAAACGAAAAAGCAAAACACGACAACTGCCACCAAAAAATGGCTTACCGTTCGGACCGATTTCTGCCGCAAGAAGAAAATAACTTGCGATCTGGCCACTGTTTCTCTGACCGACCTTGCTGGCATTTTGAAACATGCATACGTCGAAATCCGGACCAAAAATGAAAAAAAAGATGTACAGCAAGGCAAGCCTTATTTCATTTCGTGCTGCCATTCAACGACGCCTCACCGAACTACGACGACCAATCAACATAATCACGGACCGAGAATTTGTGCAAGCAAACGAAGCGCTCAATGCATTGATTAAAAAAATGAAGCAAGATGGCCAGCTGAAGGAAGTTCAGCATAAGGACGCTCTTTGCCACGAAGATCAAGCTAAGCTTAACTCTTACTTAAAAGTTACTTTGTCTACAACTATGAGTCTGATCCTATTGCCCTCGCAGAAATGGTCTGGTTCGGCATCACCAAGAATTTTTGCTAGCGTGGCCGCGAGTCTCAGTGTTATCTATATGTGGAAGACTTTGAGGAGTGCAGTAATGCTGAGTATGGGGAGTATGTGAAGATAACAACATCGTACAAGTCGAAAACGCAGCAAGGCTCGATTTCTGCAGCTGACAGCGTTTCTGACGGTCGCCTCGTCAACCCCATGTATGTGTTTCAAGCTCCTGTCATCAAAACTGCCTAAGCCTACCTCTGGAAAGACACGTTTGTTCCAGCAAGTGAAGAAACACGCTACTCGTGAGTCTACTGTATGGTACAATGGGAAGCCTTTGGGTAAGAATACCCTGGGCAGCTTGATGTCAATCCTGTCTGTGAAATGCAACTTATCGCAGCGATATACCAACCGCTCAGTGCGTGCATCTACGATAACTGAGCTCTGCAGGCAGAACTTACCAGCTTCGACAATCATGGCAGTGTCAGGGCACAAGTGCCAACAGAGCCTCGTGCACTACAATCGACCAACAGAAGCAGACAAGCTCAAGACGGCATCATTACTACATGTCCCCGATACTACACCTGCCGAGCCGGTCCATCCGGAACTGACAGGCATTGATCTGGACGATCTCTTTCAGCCAGCAGCACCGCCTGAGCTTCCGTTGTTTCCAGACCTACTTCTGCAGCCACAGTCATCATCCAGCTCTCTTGTTCCAGCAGCGTCTAATTGGGACGCAGACATTGATGCCCTGATCGCGAGCTGCACGCCCCAGGAGCTCCAAACGTTGGAGATGAAGCAGCAGGGAACAAGCGTGTTTCAGTCCTGCAACTCCTCTAACTGCTCGATCACCAACAAAATCACTGTTCAAACTGTGAAGAAATGAAAAATTAAAAACCCCATTCGAGACTGTACTGGGGTTGTGTTCAGTGCCTGCATTTGAAAATGATTTGGTCTGCTTGCATACGTTTGTACATATATGGAACACCGGGGGCAAGCATGCAATAAATGATTTACAGCACCTCGTATGCGCTCGTACACGGGCAATACCGGCTTGATACGTGACCGAACGGCGTCATGTATCAGCCGGTATTGCCCGTGTACTCGCTTGTACTCGGGCTGAAAATCATACGTACGCAACCCAGCTTTGGGCTCAACTCTCTTGTGGTCACTTTGCACTGTTTGCCAGCGTAACCTTTTGAACAATGTCACGCGATGTGAAGTTCTGCCGACGCAGCACAGCATAGAGGTTGTGCAGGCAGTTGCACACTCTTGGGGGTTATGTACTCTTGCTATAAAGTAAACTTGCCTAGGCTAATCCAATTCGAATTGTACGTGCATCACCAAAATGATATAATATAGGAAATTTGCTGAGCTCATGAAAGCCAAAGTGTGCAGCTCGCTACAGTCAACTTAGGGTATAATGCTTAGGGTATAATGACACTCGGTGGGGCACCAGGAAAGTGTCCTTATTCGCGAAGTGTCCTTATACCCGAAGTCTCATTATATGTATTACAGTTGGATGGGACTTTGCTCTGGGCATGGAAATTCTGTCGTTATTCGCGAATTGTCGTTAAATCTGCAGTCGTTATTAGTGAAGTGGACTGTAGCTGCACACTTCGGCTTTCATGAGCTCTTGATACCACAGACACGCACGCACACGCATACACACACACGCACGCGCACGAACACACACACACACACACACATATGCATGAATCCTGGCTTTGAGCTCGGCTAGCCATGCCTGCAGAAGACATAATTATGTACAGTGCTGCTTAATGAAATCCAGTCGTGTCACTCAAGTTTGCGCCTTGCACCATTTCGCAGCCCAGTGTTCGTAGGTCTAGGGCTGCCCAACGCCCGGCGCGTACTTGAGTGACTCGATCGGATTTCATGGAGCAGCACAGCAGCTTGACCTACCTCGCTGAGATCTGTAAACGTGTCCAACAAGCAGAACGGACATCTCCACAGGCCAGTGTCCTCCGCTCTTTCCGGATTAGCCTGGTCAAGCATTTCCCGTGTAGGCCGCCTCCGTGTTATATTGATGACGGAGCCTGTGTACAGCGCGGCACAGCCATAGGAAGGTAACGACCATGATCAAAACAAACACCACAGCAGCATCAGCAGCAGCAGCATCAGCAGCAGGAGCAGCAGCAGCATCAGCAGCAGGAGCAGCATCATCATCATCAGCAGCAGAGGCGGCATCAGCATCAACAGCATCATCATCATCATCATCATTATCATCATCAGCATCAACAGCATCATCATCATCAGCAGCAGCATCATCATCATCAGCAGCAGCAGCAGCATCAGCACCATCATCATCAGCAGCAAGACACACACACACACACACACACACACACACACACACACACACACACACACACACACACACACACACACACACACACACACACACACACACACACACACACACACACACACACACACACACACACACACACACACACACACACACACACACACACACACACACACACACACACACACACACACACACACACACACACACACACACACACACACACACACACACACACACACACACACACACACACACACACACACACACACACACACACACACACACACACACACACACACACACACACACACACACACACACACACACACACACACACACACACACACACACACACACACACACACACACACACACACACACACACACACACACACACACACTACCACACAGCCCCAAGGACTCTTCCATGACCACCACTCGCCCAATCACAGACACCCAACACCACCACCATCATGACCACCATCGTCACCGGTCCCCCTCCACCACCATCATCACCCCCCTTCCCCTTCCACCATCATCACCCCCCCCCCTCCCCCTCCACCACCATCATCAACCCCCTTCCCCCTCCACCATCATCACCCCCCCCCCCCTCCACCACCATCATCACCCCCCTCCCCCTCCACCATCATGACCACCATCATGACCACCACCCCCTCCCCCCCCCCCCTCCACCACCATCATCACCCCCCCCCCCTCCACCACCATCATCACCCCCCCCCCCCCCCTCCACCACCATCATTACCCCCCCCCCCTCTCTACAAGCACCACCATGACCACCAGCAAAACTAACCTGTGACTAGCTTTCCCTCGACCAGTGTTTCTTTCGTTTCGCCAGTCAGCAAGCGGAACTTCTCCTCCGACCCGAGGCCGCGATAGGGCAAGCGTCGTTCTTTGAACATGCCAAACAGCTCATCTCGAATGTCATAGAGGGTTGTCTGCCGATTGCCAAAGCCCTGTAAGACAGTACAGCATACAGTACAACAATGATCTCAACCTGCACAGCATGTCACACTAGCGGCGGGGAAACCCCTTCAGCGATACCCGACCCAGTAGGTTCTCCAAGATGATAGTTTTTTTTGAGCAGCCAGGGTCTCCAGATAACCAGACATTCACTCACGACTAACAACACACTGTCTTCAGGTGCTCACGAGAAGACACGCACGTTTTTGGAGGTCACCCATAATGAATTATCAAACTTTTTTCGAATATTGGCCCATGGGCTAAAAAACGAACATGTTTTACTGGATATTTTATCCCCAAACTGCATTATTTCACATATAAGCCCATGGACTTATATGCGCAAAATTACGGTACCGTGCTGGCAAAGAACGGCAGCTACACACACTGGTCTGTGCACTCCAACGCGGTGCTATTTTATTCACGAGGTTGCATTTCTCTGGCCAGTAGTGTAGTGACCATTTTACTGCTTACTTTCAACATTGCAGATACCTCACGTCCGGAAGACGGTGCAGTCAGACCTCGTTTAACCGCACACATCCGTTTTCCACAAAAATATCCGGATAGGCGAGGGAACAGGACAATCAAACACACATACTGTATGTATGCATGGCATATGCTGTAAATCGGTAACCAACGATTTTCTTCCGGATGGCGAGGGATCCGGATAAAAGAGGACCGGATAAGCGAGGTCTGACTGCACTGTAATTTCACAAATTTCCGATGTACTTTTAATCTTTTATTTTCGGTACTTTCAGTGCATCTGCCTCATGCCTAAAATTTCAATACACCGAACAGACACTAACACACATAATCCAATAGGGAACTGCTTCTCTGTACCGAAAATTTCTGTTCACCTAACCTGGCCTTTTGCCCTCATAACCGAAAATATTGAGCACCTTAAGTTTCTGAAATTAGAGTAGAGTAAAACCTGGTTTAAGCGACCACCCCACGGTGCAACCCACGGTGCAACCCACGGTGCAACCCACGGTGCAAGCGACCACCCCACGGTGCAACCCACGGTGCAAGCGACCACCCCACGGTGCAACCCACGGTGCAAGCGACCACCCCACGGTGCAACCCACGGTGCAAGCGACCACCCCACGGTGCAACCCACGGTGCAAGCGACCACCCCACGGTGCAACCCACGGTGCAAGCGACCACCCCACGGTGCAACCCACGGTGCAAGCGACCACCCCACGGTGCAACCCACGGTGCAAGCGACCACCCCACGGTGCAACCCACGGTGCAAGCGACCACCCCACGGTGCAAGCGACCACCCCACGGTGCAACCCACGGTGCAAGCGACCACCCCACGGTGCAACCCACGGTGCAAGCGACCACCCCACGGTGCAACCCACGGTGCAAGCGACCACCCCACGGTGCAACCCACGGTGCAAGCGACCACCCCACGGTGCAACCCACGGTGCAAGCGACCACCCCACGGTGCAAGCAAAAGCGGTCGTTAAAGCCAGGTGGTCTTTAGAACCAGGTCCCATACATTCGTGGTATATCGGGATTATACATACATGTGCATGATTGTACTTCCATGTACTAGTACTCATATTGACAGGTGTGGAGCATAGAATACTCTCGTGCAGGCAAAGCACACCTCACTGGAGTGCATGCAGCGCATACAAAAGTCGGTCGCTGGCCGCGCAAGGCAGGTAGTCGCTGTATCCGGTGCAGTTTCTGTATAGAACTGTCCGTGCATGGAAAAACGGTCTTTAAGAGCAGGTGGTCGCTAAAGACAGAGGTCGCTTACACCAGGTTTTACTGTAGTTATTTACAAGGTTGACTGTATGTGTTTCTCTGTTCACTTCACCTTCCTAGCAGGCACAATACTCAATAGGATGGTCTAAGACCACGACTAAGAAACAGAGGGTACCATGTTTAAGCTTCGGTCCTCCGACCACTTGGTGACAGGTCTGATCTACTCACCTCCCACCGCTTTAGGAGCTGCATCTGCGACCTGATCCCAGAGGGTGGTGGCATTCCTGTGGACGCGGAAAACTCGGTCTAACTGAGTCAGACGCGACCCGTGACATTTCTCCCACCTACCAGCGCCCATGAAATAGAGACCAATGTCATGTGGTGGGAGGGGAGTCCCGAAATGGTTTCTGTTACGCCATGTACGCAGCACACACGCCTAAACAGACAGCAACGCACACATCCCCCCCCCCCCCCCACACACACACACAAGCTCCCCCCCCCCCCCACACACACACACAAGCCCACCCCACCCACCCACACCCACCCACTGACCTGTCTCTCCAGTTCCACTGCAAACGCGTCCAGGTCGAGGTCTTTGAGGCGCTCAGGACCCTCCAGAATCTCTTCTACAGCAGCCGACGGATCTCCCTCGTCACCGACAACCTGGAAAGGAAAAGCGTGCAACAATGCACAAAATACAGACAAGAACATGTCAGAGATGAAACAAGTACATGGATACCGAATGTTTGACGACTCGCTTGTTTTTCGTTGTTGAAAAATAATTGTACTCGGAATAAATCAGAGTGCTCGTCCATGCCGCGTACTTGTGTGTGTGTGTGTGCGTGTGTGTGTGCGTGTGTGTGTGCGTGTGTGTGTGCGTGTGTGTGCGCGCACGCACGCATGTGTGGGTGGGTGCATAAGTGTGCACGTCCGTGCATGTGTGTGTATGTGGACAGGGACACTCCACGCGCGCACACTCACGTCTCCTTCGTCTTCAAGAGCGTCGACGGCCATCTTCCTGGCCCAGTCGTATGTTTCCGGGTGGATGCGGGAGTTATCCAGCGCATCAATGTACTCGGATGCACTGCATGTATGCAAGATAGACACGCACACGCACGCACACACACACGCACACACACACACACACACGCACCACAAGAACACAACACATGTGCCCATATACACACAACATGCGTGCCATCCAGAGTGAATACCCGGTAAGTTGAATTTAACAGGCGGAAACACTAACAGTGAACCCAACGGAGAAATAAGTTTAAATAACCCATGCTACTCGTTTCATCTAACTGGTCGTCTCAAAAGTTTAAAAGTCGTCCCTTAAATGCACATTATCAGCTAATGCAGCCCCCCCCCCCCTCCCTTACACACACACACACACACACACACACACACACACACACACACACACACACACACACACACACACACACACACACACACACACACACACACAGAGTCCCACACAGCCCCCCCCCCTTACACACACACAATCCTTTCCAAAATATACGCCAGAGTGTGCCACGAACAGCACATTCCTTCAGCAGATGACCACCAGCATATCGGTTTGGAAAGATACACAATGGCATTGTACTGCATTGTAGTACTCTAGCGGCGACTAGCCAATCCCTTTTGGAATCCTACTCTTCCAATTTCCAAATAAGCTACATGTGCGTGTGCTTTAAAGATGGCAGTTCTCTTTTCGCCATTATCCCTATGCAAACGTCCCAACAGCCACCTGGTGGACAGCAATGTTGACGGGAAAGGAGGAGTGCATAACTTACTTCTCTTCAAAGTCGCCAGTGTTGATACGAATGAACCCGGCGCAGTTTAGGAAAACCTTCGGGCCCATTTGCAGCGACGTGATGAGCTGAGAGCGGTTCTCAATGCGCCCACCCTTGCTCTTCTGCATGTGCACACAAACACACAAACACACCCGCACACAAGCATGCACACACGAACACACACACACGAACACACACACACATACACACACACGCACACACACACGCACACACACACGCACACACACACCACACACATGTACCACACACATACCACACACGAACACACACACACGAACACACACACACACACACACACACACACACACACATGCACAAGCAAGAACAAAAGTGGAAATCTCTCTTCAGGCGACAAGAGCAAAGCAAAGCATTGACGGCAGGCGGGCAGTTCGACCACCGAAAACAAGGCAGGTCATAATAAATTATTATAACACCCACTTATTGCACAGCTCAGCAAGCACTGCAATCTGTATGCTGTAAGTCTACCAATTTTCGGCTCATTCAAATTTCGGCCTCCCAGGGCTAAAACCCATTTCGGCTGCATCAAATTTTCGGCCTGTACTGCTGCCGCCTGTATACACCGTCACACTGAACCTTGTAAAACAAAATTTCGGCCGTAACACATTTTCGGCCAAACATGGCCAGGCCGAAAATAGTCGAAAATAAATAAATACGCGCCGAGTATTTGCTGACTTACACTACAGCACATGTACAGACAGTGATGGCAACACACACTACAGCACATGTACAGACAGTGATGGCAACAATTCAGTTCACTCACCCTCTACCACTGGGCAGCTCACGAAACGGTCAGGGATCGTCCATAAATATCGAACCTTCTTTTTTCTCCACAAAACGAAATATTTTCGTTACGGGGCGGGAGGGGGTTGACCAATTTCGTTTCAGAAAGCATGGATACATGTACATGTACGTACAAGTTACGCTATGTAAATGTCCAATAACACCACCAGGTACCTGACAATCAGCTCATGCGATAACATTGCACGACACTGACCGACGGTACTGACGTTCTACAGGTAACTTGCTACCGGCTCTAGCACGTCTCGGATGCACACTCCAACATCCTTCCAACGTGTAAGGTTTTAAGTTATAGTAATAACATAGGAGTTCCTTGGTTCTTTTCTTTGCTATAAATTAAACCTTGGCTCTCCATCCGAGTTCATCCTTGCACACGCAGAGCAAAGAAGGTTCTATTCATTAGGCCATCATTTTTTATATCTATGTTTCGCGTCAGTTCAACTTCCTGAATCATATGCGAGAGGTGGAAAAAATAAAAAATTGCAAAATAATAAAAAAAGCTCATCAGAGGTGTACATTGCACAATAGCTCGTGCATGGTGTACATCCGAAAGAAAAATCGTACATCGAAGCACAACATCTGCATCACTTTGGACAGAGGAGGCAACTGTTGGTGCCCTTGCTTCGCTGGATTATTGTACTCAGCCTTCAGCAGAGGTGCAAAGAGCTCCGGAACGACGCATCCTCTCAGCTTGAGGCGATCGATGCGGTCTGTTGTAAGCTCATAGAATACTGCTCGCAGATGCCGAACAAACGATTTACCAACGCTGGCCTCGAGGCCATTTCTGAATCCCAGCTTCGCCGAATGCAACCAGTCCACACTGATGACTCGCACGATCGTACACTAACTGTGCATGGTTGAGTTTTTTATTTTTTTCCGAAAAAAATCAAAACGTATGCGTGCGGACGACGCGAAACATAGATATAAAAAATGATGGCCTTTAATACGGGAACACGAAGAGCAAACAAGGGATTCTTCGTTCTCGTGCCGGTGAGCAGAACAATCTCCAATAGATTACAGTATAGGGGGCATATATGGAGCAATCTAGGGATCTAGACCTCACCTTGGTGATGTCACTGGCTTTGCGTGGACCGAGTCCTCCGACAAACTGCAGCAGCGGATTCCAGTGCGTGTGCTTCAGGGATTTGTTGATATCCACGCCGACTTCGTTTACGCGATTTATCAACTCGACTTGTAACGCCCAGAGTAGATCCTCACGCGGTACATCATTCTGAGAGAGAGAGAGAGAGAGAGAGAGAGAGAGAGAGCGAGAGAGAGAGAGAGAGAGAGAGAGAGCGAGAGAGAGAGAGAGAGCGAGCGAGAGAGAGAGAGAGAGAGAGAGAGAGAGAGAGAGAGAGAGAGAGAGAGAGAGAGAGAGAGAGAGAAGGAGAGAGAGAAGGAGAGAGAGGCACATAAACAGGTGTGAGAGAGAGAGAGAGAGAGAGAGAGAGAGAGAGAGAGAGAGAGAGAGAGAGAGAGAGAGAGAGAGAGAGAAAATCCAACAAGAGCAATGGCATTTTTCACAGGACACAAACAAAAATGCGTAAGAAGCAGAAAAAGAACAAGATGTCAAACAGGTCGGTCCCTAGTGCAGAGCATCTCACACATGCCACCAGGTAGGCTAAGACCCTGCCCCTGACACCACGACTGCAACCACCGCCCTCGTCGCTCACTCACTCGCCAGCCGCCGATGCCCACGGCAACAGCCAGTCGCAGAGCGCCGGCATCAGCGGAACACAGAGAGCAAGCGTCGAGGGTACGGGCGCCTTCGCAGTGCTCGCTCATTGCTGTGTGCCCGGTGTGTTGGCCGCGTGCCCGAGGACTGGCGTGCACGCGGAAAAGCCGACACGGGCAAAACCAAGAGCACATACGTCCCAAGAGTGTGCAACTGCCCTCACAACCTCTATACAGACGGCAGAACTCATCACGTGACATGGTTCAAAAGGTTACGCTGGCAAACAGTGCAAAGTGACCACAAGAGAGTTGAACGCAAAAGCAGGATTGCGTACAATATCTATCGTGCACAGGGCGCAAATAATGTGTGCGGGTTCGTCACGTGATGTGAAGTTTTGCCGTCGCAGACCCATAGCTGGAGCTGCACACTATAGGGAGTTATGTACTGTTGGCAAAACTGATAGCTAGCCACTGCCAAGAGGCACAAGCAGCAGGGGGGGGGGGGGGGGGGGTATTGTACACGCGGCTACGTCACTGCGCAACGGGGGCCGCACTCGAATACAAGTCGCACCCCACTTCCAGATTTGAGCCATACTGTTTCAGTATACATGTATTCACATAAGGAGGATCTCAAACTCAACGGCAGGTCGCATCCCCTTCTTTGCCCGAGAAGTTTAGCGTCAAAAGGTGTGCGACTTATAGTCGGGGAAGTACGGTACTGTGCGTGCGGCCATGCATCTCACCTGAAATACGTTCAGCTTCAGGCAGAGAAACTCATCGTCGTCGGCTGCCAGGTAGCAGAACTCCGACAGGGGGTCTTGCAGGCGACGGCCCACCGAGATGGCGTGGCGCAGCAGTTCATTGTACTCGCGGTGATGAACCTGACGGCACGTGAACACCAGTGCAGAGTGACAGACAAACAGACAGACAGACAAACAGACAGACAGTCAGACACACACAAACACACACACAGACACACAGATAGGCATTACAAAGCAACACATCGAAACCCGTATGAGAAAAAAAACAATTGGGGTAGATGGAAGCAGTTTGTCTGACGTGGCCTATGCATTGGAGTGCAGAGCAATGCGCGCACAAACGCATAGACACAGACACACACACACACACACACACACACACACTCACAAATGCACACAACACACACACACACACACACACACACACACACACACGCACACACACACAAATGCACACATACATACACTCAAACACGCACACACACAATAAAAACACACACACACATACCGCACAACCAAAAACGTACTTCGGCACGCTTTGATGTCTCGTAGAGGCGTGCGAGTTCGCAGTCCACAAACTCAGTTGCTATGGTTACCATCTGATGCTCCTGTTCCAACTGCGTGACACAGGCCTTAATCGTATCCGACAGAGACAGTGCCTCACTGCATGTTGTAAAATAACAGCACACATACACACACACACACACACACACACACACACACACACGCCACACACACAATGCAATAGTACGGTGTTGCTCAATGAAATCCAGTCGTGTCACTCAAGTATGCGCCGGGCGTTGCGCAGCCCTAGACCTGCGAACACTGGGCAGCCAAATGATGCAAGGCGCAAACTGGAGTGACACGACTGGATTTCATTGAGCAGGACTGTAGATAGCGATCACCATGAAACTTTCTTTGCCTGGGCATGGTATGTCATTGCTAGCATTATCAAGCTTTTGCTGACACGGACAGACAGACAGACAGACAGGTACATGTACACAAACATGCGCGCGCACGCACACACACACACACACACATGTAACGAAAAAACAGCCAAACTACTGTGCATGGCCGTCGCAAGAGAAGCACGCATACTGGTATCTCCAATGGGCACTGGATATAACATGACATTGTACAACTGCAGATGTTCTACCATAGCAGCGATCGAAGAAAAGATCCGGACGGAACGCATCAAGACTTGCACCAGGGAACTGTCCAATCCACATACCGGTAACTACACACACGCGCACACACACACACACACACACACACACACACACACACACACACACACACACACACACACACACACACACACACGAATGCACGGTCTCAACAAGTACTAACCGACATGACGCATCGATAGCAATGGCCAGGGGCCGACACCGCAAGATAAACTTCTTCAGAGAATCGCAGTCTTTCTCCTGGGTAGAAGAGAGGCAATGACACACCAACGAAAACAGCAGCAGCAGCAGCAGCAGCAGCAGCAAGAGCAACAGCAGCAAGAGCAACAAGAGCAACAGCAGCAACAAGAGCAACAGCAGCAACAGCAGCAGCAGCAACCGTAGCAGCAACGATAGCAGCAACAGCAGCAAAACAGAAAGGAAAATGAGGCAATCTCTCATTGGCATTTGGCAAGCAAGGGCATCGTAAATAGAACAAGAAGTCAGTACATGTACGGTTAAGTACCGCCAGAGCGCCCCACATTGATTTCACAGCCAGGGAAATAAAAATCGTATGGCAGAGTGCAATGAAGTTAGTACGGTGTGAGAACCTTAGTGTACTAAGGTCACAATTAGCAGGTTTTTGTGTGGAGCTTGTGTCCGCTTGAAGGTAAATCGAGTACGGATCGACTGCACAACGTGCAATGTGTGTACAAGGTTCGTGTCGTATGACCAACAGACAGGACACCACCTCCACAATGCGACCACGGAAGGACAAGATGGTGGGGCGCTCTCGCTGTACTTTACCGTACTATCAAGAGTGCATAAACAAGAGTATGCAACTGTGATCTCTTTTCTACCGGCCAAATGCGCGGCGCACTGCCTTTATTACATCATGCAGCTGCAGTCCGCGCACTGCGGAAAATCAAACACCGCACTTTCCCCCTGGTTTGAAATGAACCTTCGCACGGAACTGGAGTTCACGCGCCAAAATTTAGAGACCACGTAGGTACTGGAACGAATCGAGCAAAAACGGATGGGCTCGTACGAGAAATTGGGGGTTTGAATGCATGCTTTCAGAGCGTGATGGAGGCAAGTTACGTAATGAAGGCAGCGCGCCGCGCACTGACCCATAACCACAGTTGCATAATCTTGTCTATGCACACTCAGTACTACTAAAGGCAGAAACACACCTTTTTCGCCTCATTCCTGTCCAGCAGGTGACCGAGACGGAGAAAGTCGGACACTTCGCCGTTGCCGTCCAGCATGGCGAACGTGATTGGCTTGCTGCGATCGGGTACAATGCAAGTGGTGAGAACTCGCAGGCCAGGCGAGTAAGATTGATCGTCGTCGTTCACCGCCGCTTCCGGCTGGAACGGTGCCACCTCCACCCAGGCGCGCAGTTGAAGGGTGCATTGCTGATACAACAAACAAACAAAAAAACAGACAGCAAGTCAGCAACAGTTCTGTAAAACATATTATCATAACGAAGTGCTTAATCTAACCAGTTACCGAGGAGGAATCTGTCGTTAAAACAGAAATCGATACATATACTGTTGCCAGTGAGCGTTGAGAATGAGTGAAAATCGTCACCTTTGGTACACGTAAACCGGTCAAGTTTAGGAAATCAATATTATTATTATTATTATAACTGGTTTGAGGGAAAGAGACAAACGGGAAAAGTCTGAAGAAAAAATTGACTGTCACCACCAGGACTCGAACCAGGGACCCTCGCTTGTAGCCAGCGATGCTCTAACCACTGAGCTATGGTGTAGTCGTCATCCCAGCAGAGGCCGTTCAACATTTTCTTCAGACTTCGTAACTCACTTTATTATTATTATTATTATTTTTTTTTTTTTTTGAGGGTCCCTGGTTCGTGTCCTGGTGGTGGCGGTCGATTTTTTCTTCAGACTTTTCCCGTTTGTCTCTTTCCCTCAAACCAGTTAATATATATCTCTTGTAGCAGTTGAGCACTCTTGCGTGGGGTAGTGCCTTTGCTGTTTGCTTTATGCAGAGCTCACTGACATGTCAGTTTGAGCACTCTGGCAAGGTACGTTCGGGCCTGATTGGAAATTTTTATTTCCATTGCTATCAGGTTCGGCCTCATTTCCTCTGTGCTGCGCTGATGAGTCCACAAAGGACGAAACAGTTCTGTCCGCAGATTGAGTATTTCGCTCCTGCTCTTGTAGCAGTTGAGCACTCTTGCGTGGGGTAGTGCCTTTGCTGTTTGCTTTATGCAGAGCTCACTGACTTGTCAGTTTGAGCACTCTGGCAAGGTACGTTCGGGCCTGATTGGAAATTTTTATTTCCATTGCTATCAGGTTCGGCCTCATTTCCTCTGTGCTGCGCTGATGAGTCCACAAAGGACGAAACAGTTCTGTCCGCAGATTGAGTATTTCGCTCCTGCTCTTGTAGCAGTTGAGCACTCTTGCGTGGGGTAGTGCCTTTGCTGTTTGCTTTATGCAGAGCTCACTGACTTGTCAGTTTGAGCACTCTGGCAAGGTACGTTCGGGCCTGATTGGAAATTTTTATTTCCATTGCTATCAGGTTCGGCCTCATTTCCTCTGTGCTGCGCTGATGAGTCCACAAAGGACGAAACAGTTCTGTCCGCAGATTGAGTATTTCGCTCCTGCTCTTGTAGCAGTTGAGCACTCTTGCGTGGGGTAGTGCCTTTGCTGTTTGCTTTATGCAGAGCTCACTGACTTGTCAGTTTGAGCACTCTGGCAAGGTACGTTCGGGCCTGATTGGAAATTTTTATTTCCATTGCTATCAGGTTCGGCCTCATTTCCTCTGTGCTGCGCTGATGAGTCCACAAAGGACGAAACAGTTCTGTCCGCAGATTGAGTATATATATATATATATATACTCAATCTGCGGACAGCATGCTGTTTCGTTCTTTTTGAACTCATCAGCGCAGCACAGAGAAATGAGGCCGAACCTGATAGCAATGGAAATAAAAATTTCCAATCAGGCCCGAACGTACCTTGCCAGAGTGCTCAAACTGACAAGTCAGTGAGCTCTGCATAACGCAAACAGCAAAGGCACTACCCCACGCAAGAGTGCTCAACTGCTACAAGAGCAGGAGCGAAATACTCAATCTGCGGACAGCATGCTGTTTCGTTCTTTTTGAACTCATCAGCGCAGCACAGAGAAATGAGGCCGAACCTGATAGCAATGGAAATAAAAATTTCCAATCAGGCCCGAACGTACCTTGCCAGAGTGCTCAAACTGACAAGTCAGTGAGCTCTGCATAACGCAAACAGCAAAGGCACTACCCCACGCAAGAGTGCTCAACTGCTACAAGAGCAGGAGCGAAATACTCAATCTGCGGACAGCATGCTGTTTCGTTCTTATATATATATTTTTTTTTACTGTGCTTCTTCCCTATTATTATTATTATTATTATTATTATTATTATTATTATTATTTTTACAAGAAGTCGGAGGCGGATAATACTTTAATAACGAAGGTACGTGTTAGGTCGTAAGTATCCACGCAAACACACATCCAGTCAAAATAAGGCACTTGTCAAAGTATCCGAACGTTTTCGGTCCCTTCTCATCAAGGATTATACAGGGAATGGCTCAAGTTGGAAAGACTAAAACTTATATAGCGTAAAGATATGAGATAACAACACTCGTGACAAGGTGAAAAAAGTATCAAGTTCAGCACGACACAAAACTCGAAGGACATAATAATAGCGACAAGAACATAGTGAGCAAATTAAGTTACACCCAACGGAGCTAAGAATCGCACTTCGTCCATCAAGCAACATCTGTCAGCCCGTACCAATTGTCGTGAGTTGTACAGTGATAATGTGTTCTCAATATTGTCACGTGGTAGATGTGCGTTGCATCTGGCTGTGTTAGAAGCTTTGTATATCCGTAAGTTAGATCCTGAACTTTGCGTACAAAAAGAAAATGTGTTGTCGCTACAATTGTTTGGTGTTACTCCTCGTCGAGGTGTTAACAATGTAACTTAATTTGCTCACTATGTTCTTGTCGCTATTATTATGTCCTTCGAGTTTTGTGTCGTGCTGAACTTGATACTTTTTTCACCTTGTCACGAGTGTTGTTATCTCATATCTTTACGCTATATAAGTTTTAGTCTTTCCAACTTGAGCCATTCCCTGTATAATCCTTGATGAGAAGGGACCGAAAACGTTCGGATACTTTGACAAGTGCCTTATTTTGACTGGATGTGTGTTTGCGTGGATACTTACGACCTAACACGTACCTTCATTATTATTATTATTATTATTATTATTCGCGGCTGGTTAGAATAATGGCTTTCGCAGTATCACTATCAGCATGAGCTGAGGTGAGGGTTGACACACTCGACTTCAAGGCTGGTAACAAAAAAGACGGCGAGTCAGCAACAGCATCGGCTGAGGTAAGTGTTGACACACTCGACTTCAGGGCCGGTAACAAAAAAGACGGCGAGTCAGCAACAGCATCGGCTGAGGTAAGTGTTGACACACTCGACTTCAAGGCCGGTAACAAAAAAGACAGCAAGACGGCGAGTCAGCAACAGCATCGGCTGAGGTAAGTGTTGACACACTTGACTTTGACTTCAAGGCCGGTAACAAAAAAGACAGCAAGACGGCGAGTCAGCAACAGCATCGGCTGAGGTAAGTGTTGACACACTCGACTTTGACTTCAAACCCGCCGGCGGCAGTGCACTACCCAGGGAGTGTGCACCATCACAGTCAAGAGTATGGACCCATTGCGCAATGACGTAATTTGTACCATAAACACCCTTCAGACACCTGGGCATGGTCGTCTGGCGTGTTAAACAGTGCATTGCTGATCCCAGCGTACTCACAAGCATTACTCATACCTTCCATATTTGGCAATGCGCTATGGGTCTATTGTAGAACGGCTAATTCTAGCGGAGTAATATTTTTTTAGCGTTTTCTGAATCAGGGCCAATACTCGACGAGATATTTCAGCAATCCGAGTTTCAGAGTTCTAAGAAAAAGTGACCAATACCGTACTGTACATGCAAAATTTCAATTGGCACGGCAAAAGTGTCGCGAAAACACTCCTTTCGCTAAAAAAATACCACCGGCGCTAAAATCATCACAGTTCCACCCGTAGTGCAGTGTACCTTGCAAAGCATAGTACACACTAACCTGTACAACGTGATCCTGCGCCTCCTTAAGCAAAACAAGCTTCAGCTCTTGTTCAAACATTGGGTAGAGGAATTTCTCCAGCGCGACACGCAGCGTTTCGTATCTCAGTGCATTCCAGTTCTGTGCCACTGTACTATACTCATCCTGAGCAAGTGGAAAAAAGACACAAGGCAACCAATAACCAGGACAGCAACAGAGGTTGAAGATTTGCTCCACTGTGCTTCTTCCCTTCCGGAACCCTGCTTGCTCATCCAATAGTACATCGGCATAAAACGGCCAAGACAGTTACCTATGCACACCCTACACTTGCTGGGGTAACCAGTATAGACAGCACGCTGCTTTGATAGAAGCAGACTCTAGATGCACTGGTACATGTACCTTGAAGTGAAATTGGAATTACTTTACCAATCAGCCTCGGCTACTGAGTACTGGGAACCCAGAGCCACACACACACACCATGTACCATGTACCATGTATACGCCCGTCGCAAGAGAAGCACGCAAATCTGCAAATGCACTGGATGTGCACCCACAGATTTTCTCTTTATAGCAACGATAGCGGATCTGATTCTGATTGAAACAGATCAAGACAAGCGCCAGATAACTGTCTAATCCACACAACTGGCGAAGCC